GCGCTGTTTCACAACGCGGGGGGATCTGAGCCATCCGCACGCGCTGCTTCCTTCGTCGTTGCCGCCTCCGTCGCCGAGCCGTCGCTGTACAGGTGGCCGACGCCGTCCTCCACCCTACTCTGCCTAACATTTCCCCTGACTGCTCCTGGGGAAACAAACAGCACCGATACCGCTACTCCCCTCCCCTGGGGTGTGTTCTGGCCAGACTTTCGAGGCGAATCAGACGGTGGCGACGAGGGCCTGCGAGGAGGCCCAAAAAGGGGAAAACGAGCGGAGGGTAGATGTACTTGGATCGCCGCGGTGGTTGCTAATTACGGGGGGTGTGGGGTTAGAAGTGGATGCTCAAGTGGATTTGATCTGGCCTAACCCACAGTATACATGGGTTACAAGTGCCCTATGTGGCTTAGAATGATGCGGTAATTCCGCTAAGTGGGCTCCGCCCACTTAGAGCACATCTGTACGTTCTTAAAGCCACCTAGGGCACGCGCAAGCCACTTCTAAGCTGGGTTAGGCTGGATAGAACTCTCCTTAGCATCCACTTGTACCCCCCTATCCTCTTAGCACCCCCCGCAACGATTCAAATACCGTTTCCTTTTGGTTGTCGGGCCAAATCTCTGCTTTCTGGCGGCCGTCGAGAACCGAAGAGAACTCGGGAAACTTGAGAACACCCCCCCCCAGCCCCCGAGCCTGCCACCAGACCGTGCTGGCCAAACATCGGAGCTTGACGCACCCCCGGCGGCGGCGCCAGTCCTGGGCGCCGCACCGGGGCAGCCGGCCGCTCCGCCCGACCCAGGCGCCCAGCTGCTCGCAGCGTACGGCGAAGGGGCAACGCGCCCGGCGCCAGCGCTGGTGCCCGTGGTTGGGGGGCTGCCCCAAGACGAGCCAGGACTGGGACAACTTGGATCGCCGCAGAGGTTGCTGAGAGGAGAGGGGGATACAGTGTGCATGCTGAGGTGGGTTCTATCCAGCCTCCCCTGGCCTAGAAAAGTGGGTTGCGCGTGCCCTGAGTGGCTTGAGGTCGCCCAGATCTGGGCCAAGTGGGCGGAGCCCAATTAGCGGAACTACCTTCGTCATCCTCAGCCACATGAGGCACTTGTAACCCACTCATAAACTGGATTGGGCCAGACATGGTCAACATCGGAGACTTTCCAGATGGAACCGAGGATCGCGCAGCATTGTCGACGCGCCACCGATGTGTTCGCGACGTCGGCGGTGCATCGGCGACATCAGCGTTGAGAAAAAACTAGGGCTCCACATCGACCCGCATCGGCGATGCATCAGCGAGGGGGCGCGATCCTTCGACCTCACCTGCTCATACCCCATCCGGGAGATAGAAACATCGGCCACCTGATTTACACTCGCTGTTGGCTGAATGCTGGCTTCCGCGCGGCCCCACTTCGGCTTCTCTGGCGCCCCCCGCCTAGATCCTGGACGCCGTGACTTTCTCATGACGTGGGGGCCAAGAGGTCTGGCTGTCGGGGATCGTCTGCCCCAGCTCAATCCAGACCCATGTCAGTCAAGCCTCGCAAGATCCTGCAGAATGCTGCACCCAAGCCTGGGTCCATGCAACCCTGGCTCGGCTGAATCCTGCAAAATCCTGCAAGATCCGGCGCTCTGGCTGACCCCCGTTTGCATCGACCCCCGTCTCTTCAGCCCCGATGGCTGAACCTCTTCCCGGGAACCAGCTTTCCAGCGCGGGGGGCCCCCAGGGCCCTATCGGCGTGTTACTCCCCCGCTTCTTCGTCCGACAAAAGAAAAAAACGCACACCGACAGTAACACACCGATGGGGCCCTGGCTGGCCCCCGCGGCGGCGTGACATTGAGACTTTTTCGCCCCCCCGAATCCGGGCGACCCACCGACCACGGCGGCATGGAAGAGCGCGGGCACTCCCGGCACCCCCGACAGCACGGCGAGCCTCTCGCGGTCGGGGTCGGGGCCTTCCAGGTGCAGCCGCTGGAGGTTCAGGAACGCTGCGAGCCGCCGCTCGGTGAAGTCGCCCTCCCCGTACCTCGCAGGGAAAAGGAGAACGAGGACCATGACCAATGGGCCCCCTCGGGTACAGTAGGGGCTCGACCACAACAAACCTACCACAGGAAACACCACCCTGGAACCCCACGACGTACATCGATTTTTTGTTACGAGGAGTCGCGCTTTCCTTAGCACACTATCGGAACCCAATAAATTAAGGGAACCCTGGAGGCAAGCATGGTGGTTCGTGGCATGGGTCTCCACTGTAATCCGAAAAAACGGTGGCAAGCGCGGGGGGAAGTGAGAAGGGGTTGGGCGTCTCAGAAAGCTCGGAAGTCCCTCTGGGACATTTTCTGAGCCTTCCCCGAAGACGCAGAACACTTCTCGGAAGGCCAGAGCGCTTCTGAGAAGCCCCGCGGCCTTATGAGAAGGCCTTCTCCTCCTCGTACTTTCCCCCCCTCGCTCGCCGCCGACAAATCAAGACACAACGAGAAACGTTTCGCTGCTTGTGGCCTCCAGGGGCCCTTGCCA